ACTAAGCACATTCATTCAGCGGTGTGCGTCCATGTACCGAGGCTACCGTCGACTTCCGGAGTGTTGCACTGTGGGTAGCTATCCCAGAGCTATCCCATAGTTCCCGCAGTCTCCCCCGCCCATTGGAATTATGGGTTGAGCTCCCAATGCCTGATGGGGCCAAAAATTTGTCACAGCTGGTTATGGGTAAATGTCGTCAGTCAATCCTCCCTCCGTGAAAGCAACGGCAGACAATCATTTCGCGCCCTTTTCCCTGGATTGCCCGGGCAGACGCCATAGCACGGCAACCATGGAGCCCGTTCAGCCTTTTTTCACTCTCACCGTATGTCTATTGGATGCTGCTGACAGACGCAGTACTACAGCGCTACACAGCAGCATCCCCTTGCCTTTGCAAGTTGGCAAAGACTGTTACCAGTCATACTGTACCGTCTGCTGCTGTCATGGGTGCTCCTGGCCGGCCTCGGTGAGGTCGGTCGAGGGCACATGGACAAAAATGGGAAGGACTCCCCAGATCATTCTCTTCTTTAAGTTTTGTCTAATGGAGAGTCAGTCCTGCCTAGAATATCAGGCAAGCCTACTAAAGAACCAGAGAGGCAAACGGAGGCTCCGGGTCAGAGCACCAGACATCCCGCAGAAATGATGAGCTGCATGCCATTCTAGGGGGTGCCCCTACAACAACCCCAATCGTTGCTTCCCTCCTCCCCCACCCCTCCTGGGCTACCTTGGCAGTTATCCCCCTATTTGTGTGATGAAGTAATAAAGAAAGCATGAATTTGAAACAACACTGACTTTATTGCCTCTGCAAGCAGAGAACAAAGGGGGGAGGGGAGGGCGCTTGGCTTACAGCGAAGTCGAGTGAACCACCATTCTGCACTTGCTCAGCCTATAGATGAAAATGGGGATCTGTGATAAGCACTAGGATAGAAGCAAAGGCAGGACTGAATCTCCATTTGTGTGTGGGCCTTTGGTTGACAGTGGTAAAATACAAAATGTCCCAGGATATGTATGTTGGGGGACAGTTCTAAACGGCAGCTTTATTTTTTTATTTGCAGCAAAATGTAGAGGTCTAAGTATCTGATTGTGAGCCCTGGGAGCAAGGGGTAGGTGCGACCGCGCGGTGCTGCCGACTGGGAGAGCAGCCTGAGGCAGAAGCCTCCAGCTGGCATGATATTCCAGGCAGGACTGAATCTCCATTATACAAAACTTAAAGAAGAGAATGACCTGGAGTCATTCCCATTTTTGTCCAGGTGCCCCCGACCGACCTCACCAAGGCCAGCCAGGAGCACCCATGTCTGCCCAGGAACCCCTGACCGACCTCACCGAGGTTTCACGGTGGAGGGGGGGGAGAGGCTGACGACATATACCCTGAACCACCCACGACAATGTTTTTTACCCTTCAGGCATTGGGAGCTCAACCCAGAATTCAAATTGTTTTCGGAGAGTGCGGGAACTGTGGGATAGCTATAGTCGTCAGTCGCCCCTCCTTCCGTGAGCATCCATTTGATTCTTTGGCTTTCTGGTACACTTGTCTCAGCTCCTTAAGTTTCACGCAGCACTGTGTTGAGTCCCTGTTGTGGCCTCTGTCCATCATGGCCTTGGAGATTTTTTCAAATGTTTTGGCATTTCGTCTTTTGGAACGGAGTTCTGATAGAACAGATTCATCTCCCCATACAGGGATCAGATTCAGTATCTCCCGTACGGTCCATGCTGGAGCTCTTTTTTGATTCTGGCTGTGCTGATGAGCTCTGCATGGTCACCTGTGCTGATCAGCGCTCCACGCTGGGCAAACAGGAAATGAAATTCAAAAGTTCACGGGGCTTTTCCTGTCTACCTGGCCAGTGCATCCGAGTTCAGATTGCTGTCCAGAGCGGTCACAATGGTGCACTGTGGGATAGCTCCCGGAGGCCAATACCGTCGAATTGCGGCCACACTAAGCCTAATTCGAAATGCCAATGTCGATTTCGGCACTACTCCCCTCGTCGGGGAGGAGTACAGAAATCGATTTTAAGAGCCCTTTATGTCGAAGTAAATGGCTTCATTGTGTGGACGGGTGCGGGTTAATAAATTCAACCTAAACTCATAGTGTAGACCAGGCCTAGGTCTAAACAGAATCACCACCCTCATTCTAACTCTCAAATCCATGTGTTACATTCTTCTTTGAAATGTGAAAAAATAAAATAAAGGAGTCAGAAGAGAGGAAGAAATCTGAAATGATGAGTCATTTCCCTATCATACATTAGGTCTGATGCAATCCGTTTCAAGCTTTCATATTTTTATATCAACCAATAGCATACAAAGATAAAACTGAGCAACAAATATATTCACTCAATGTCCCAAATATTCCTGAAGCATAAAAATCATCCATACATGAACTGTTTGATTCCTGGGAGAACTTAATCTAGAATAGCTTAAGAACTGTGTTGCAGAAATTGTCTAGTAGGTATTTTTGTTTAAATCAGGTAGTGAAGAGCTGTGGACTTTTCTAAGACAAAAGTAATCTAGAGCTCATCAGTTCCTAAATAGCTGAGGTGTATAGTCATTAGTTTCAGACCATCACAATAAAAGGTCAAGAACAAACCATTTATAAGGCATCAAAGACAGATTGCAAACTGTTCTTGAACAGATCCAAGCCTTCCTAGACATAGTAAAGAGGGCTATTTCCCATGTTCAGAAAAAGTTTCAGAGACAGAAATATCTACAACTCCATTGTATAATGCGCAGTTGAATACCACAGGGTAGGCCTACACTAGAAATGCTAGACTGGCACAGTTGCAGCGGTTAGTAGTAAATCCACCTCTCTGAGAGGTAGCTAGGTTGATCATAGAATTCTTCCCTTGACCTAGCAGTGTATACACCAGGGCTTCACAGTCCTGAGCGATGTAGTTAAGCTGACCTAACTCTGTAGTACAGACCAGCCCCTAGCTGCTGTGAACTGATTACTACTATTGAAATCATAAGGAAATCAAGTGATCAATAATAGAGAAAAAGCAAAACCCACCTTACAGGACCAAGATACCATAGCATTTTAATTTTATGGACCACTGAACAAGTGATAGTCAAATCCAAAGTTCCTCAGCAGGATCCAGCTACCCTTCCTTGATGGGAAGGCCACACTGGCTACATCTACACTGGGAAGGAAAAAAACAAAACAAAAACAGCCCCACACAACCTCAGCAGCAAGTCTCAGAGCCCAGGTCATCTGACTTAGGCTCACATGGCTCACACTACAGGGCTAAAATTAGCAGTGTAGATGTTCCCGCTTGGGCTGAAGTCTTGGCTCTGAAAACCAACAAGGAGGGTGGGTCTCAGAGTCTGGGCTCCAGCTTGCATAGAAACATCTACACTGCTATTTTCAGTCCCATAGCACGAGTCTGAGTCAGGTGACCTGGGCTTTGAGACTCACTGCTGCAGGTTTGTTTTTTTAAAACAGTGTAGTGGGTTACCCATTAGCCCTATCTTTGTACGAATGAAGCACTTTAAGACTCTGTGCATATATATAGCAATCATTAGGTGGTATAACCTTTTTCTGGTAATGCCTGGACTTTCAGAAAAGAAAGGATGTTGTGATAATGCCCTAGATGATTCTGGAATTAGAAATCCAAAATGTGCCATACTGACTTGACACTGGAAAAGAACAGGTTAGACAAATACCTGTCAGGAATGGTCTTGAGTACAGGGATTGCACTAGATGACCTACTGAGGTCCCTTCCATGGAATTGTGCTATCCATTTAACAACCAGAAGAACGTGTCGGATAACTTTTAATAAGTATTAACTGAACAACTTTTTGAAGTATTTCTACAAACAATGCCAGATTCATTGAAAAGAGAAAAAGTAGTTTAAAATAGGCTGTTACAAGTGGGCAAACCCTTGCCCACTTCCACAGAATAAAACCCATACAGTTACTCCAGTCTACAGAATATGGACAGTGTGCTGATCTGGTGGCTGGGCTGAGAGAAGTGCTGTTGGGACAATTAGCATGCAGCAGGTTCTAAATGTCCCATAATATGCATCAAGAACTCCCCCTTGCTTCCCGCCCCAAAACAGTCAACATTAGGAATGAGAATTGTGGGCACAAAAAGTGAATTCCATTATATTAGGCTCTCTCCTGAGTTTTTCTGCATTGTACAATATTCAGCAATTTCTAAGCTTTCATTTTAAAAGAGTTAAGTTCATCTTTTCTATTGCGAAGATACAGGTGGCATAATGTAAATTTGATAGAAAACTGTATCCAACCAATACAACATCAGCAAAGGTTGCTCGCTGCTCAATTACCCAATTCTCCACAACTTTAGAATTTTAACTAAAATAATACAAATATTAACATTATTTTTAAAGGACTTTTTCTCTGCCCCTTTCATATTTAGAAAGAAATAAGCAATGTAGAAATTAAACACTCAAAACTATGTTAATGCAACATTAAAGCTGGCTGGTTAAAATAAAATAAAAAAGTCAGGTAATGCAACAGTTAAGGCTCCAACAGCAATGGTGACTTGATCATGTTGCATATATGTGACTTAGGGCAGGTCTACACTAACCCCCCAATTCGAACTAAGGTACGCAACTTCAGCTATGTGAATAACGTAGCTGAAGTTCGAAGTACCTTAGTTCGAATTTACCTCGGTCCACACGCGGCAGGCAGGCTCCCCCGTCGACTTCGCGTACTCCTCTCACCGAGCTGGAGTACCGCAATCAACGGCGAGCACTTCCGGGTTCGACTTATCGCGTCCAGACAAGACGCGATAAGTCGAACCCAGAAGTTCGATTTGCTTGCCGCCGAACTACCGGGTAAGTGTAGACCTACCCTTAGTAAAATCACTTACAAGAACACTTCACTCCAATTGTTTTTAAAATATGACAAACATTCTAATCTCTCAAGTGTTTGTGCACCCACCATCCACCATTTTTAGAACAGATACACAAACTAAAATGAAGGACATAGTAGAGCTTTAATTTCTCATGTTTTCACCATAATTCAAAAGCAATAGTGATTCTGCTTACCACTTCTGTTGATGTTTCTGCATGCTCGGAAGTAACATGTTCTTGAAGAGATGTTTCCGTATAACCCATTTTTCCACAATAAGGACAAGTAAAAGACTGTGGCTGCTCTACAGAGAAAGCTTCTCCACCATAGTACAAATCTGGAAAAGAAAAGCAGTGGGTAGAGTTCACTCATGGAGAAGCATTACTAGATACACTAGAGTTAAAATATGTATGGTACAGTCAACTCCCTTAAACTAGTCCTTTGGTCAAATGACATTTTAACTCAGGCACTTGGTTATATGTCTGAAAACATAAGGAGACATTGATATTTATAAAGATGTTCAACGAATTAAACACTCAAAGAAATAAATGGATTATGCTAATTTCATGCTATCAAATACAACAAAACATTAGCATCCACTAACTGCAAGTGCCTCATATGGACTTTCTACCCTAATTTGTCCCCCCCCAACTTCACACCCAAATCATTTCCCCTGATATAAGTTCATTATAGTAGAAATGTTGGGGTAGGCAGATCTCCAGGAGGTTACCTTGGTCACTGCAAATCTACACAAAACAGTATTTAAATGTGTGTTGTCTACAATGGCACTCCTTCTACCACTGTTGGGAATGAACCAACATTAGCAACAATGGGAAATTGTAGAGAGAAAAAGCCTAGTCCAGACAAAGCTCACACTTGGTCTATTTACCAAAGCAAATAACACTTCAAAGCTGCTATGTTCTAGTTTCCTTTTCAAGCACCTACACCTGTAGAATTTATATAGTTCGACTCCTGAACAAACAGCTACGTTAAAATGCACCCTTGCGAACCTGCCATGAAAATTTAACCACCTCTACTAAAAAAAAAAAAAAAAAAAAAAATCAACTTGCCCCTTCTTCACTACGATGACTACAAAACAAATAAAACTTGTTATTTACTTGCAGGCTTAAAAAGAGGTATTTTTTCTGAGCACGTAGATTCAACTCTTTTCCACCATTCTTCCTCCTTGGGCTTGTTGATAGTCAAAAAATGATTGGACATTTATATGGATAAAGAATATACAGTTCTAAATAATAAAGGATTGAAAAACTGAACAAGTTTTGGAAAAAATATAAATCTTCATGCTCCAGGACATAAGCCAACCTCAAAATGATGGGGGTTAGGAAGGAACGTCCCTGTGGGCACATACAGAGTTTCTTGCATCTTCTGAAACTTCCTGTATTGGCCTCTGTCAGACAGGATATGGGGCTAGACAGAGCGCTGGTTTAGAATAATTCAAAAGATGTTATCAATAGGAACTCTTGTTTTCCAAATTAGCACATGCACAGAGCCTCACTGCAGGAATCACACACCTAACCCCACAGCCACTGAACCATTTTTGAACAATAATTAGCAGCTATAGGGTGTTTGCATACCCTAGAGCCCAATATTTCAAGACTGCTTCATGAAGCCTTATTTGCAGATAGTTACTAAGGAGAGGTAAAGACGGAGGGTCAGTGTTGCTCTGTGGAAGCAACATATTGCAGAACAAGAGTCGGATTGTTTGCCAAAAAGTCTTTTTCTAATTCATGACACTGTTCCATAGGGCTCTAAGTAGGAGGCTAAGAGAAAAAGATCCTTTTCAGAACATTCACTGCTAGCATACACTACAGGGACTTATCCTTGCTGGAGAGGAAATGCTGTCACATCCAAACTGACTATTTGGTTGGTCCACCAGATTCAACCATCTCTGAAAGAGTCACAAAGACGCAGACTGCCATCAGGCCTAGGTGTCAAATAAAATTTCACTTCTACCCTGCATCTGGCTAAACCCATCGACTAGAAGAGATCTTGGAACCTGTCTCATAGCAACCAAGCTAGAGCCTGGTGAAATCTAAGGTGACGCCTATGAAGGTTAGAATGGGGAACAAGGGGAACTATCATAGGATCTCTCTCCACCTGCAGGCCCTGATAATGCTGATGAGACAACCACAGCGAAGTACATGGCTGCTTCTAACCCAAAAGTTAGTACCTCTGTCTAGTAGCGGCTGCTGCCTTCCACAAGCCTGAGGTATGTGTGCTTTAACCTTTCTGAGATGTGGAAGTAGGCGTTTTGAAGGTTAAGTTCACCATATCCATTGTGAGAGATGAAAGCAGGGATTATGGTGCCCAGAAACAGAAGTAATCTGTTCAATATTCAGAGATGCAGAACAGGCCACAAAGTTTCCTTTTGGAATAAGAAAACACTAGGAATGAAAGCCCTGAGCCTTTCTTAAGGCTCTGGGCACTCTGAAAACACTTGGAAGTTTTTAGAGAATCATAGAATATCAGGGTTGGAAGGGACGTCAGGAGGTCATCTAGTCCAACCCCCTGCTCAAAGCAGGACCAACCCCAACTAAATCATCCCAGCCAGGGCTTTGTCAAGCCTGACCTTAAAAACCTTTAAGGAAGGAGATTCCACCACCTCCCTAGGTAACCCATTCCAGTGCTTCACCACCCTCCTAGTGAAAAAGTTTTTCCTAATATCCAACCTAAACCTCCTCCACTGCAATTTGAGACCATTACTCCTTGTTCTGTCATCTGGTACCACTGAGAACAGTCTAGATCCATCCTCTTTGGAACCCCCTTTCAAGTAGTTGAAAGCAGCTATCAAATCCCCCCTCATTCTTCTCTTCTGCAGACTAAATAATCCCAGTTCCCTCATAAATCATGTGCTCCAGCCCCCTAATAATTTTTGATGCCCTCCGCTGGACTCTTTCCAATTTTTCCACATCCTTCTTGTAGTGTGGAACCCAAAACTGGACACAGTACTCCAGATGAGGCCTCACCAATGCCAAATAGAGGGGAATGATCATGTCCCTCGATCTGCTGGCAATGCTTCTACTTATACAGCCCAAAATGCTGTTAGCCTCCTTGGCAACAAGGGCACACTGTTGACTCATATCCAGCTTTTCGTCCACAGTAACCCCTAGGTCCTTTTCTGCAGAACTGCTGCCTAGCCACTTGGTCCCTAGTGTGTTGCAGTGCATGGGATTCTTCCATCCTAAGGGCAGGACTCTGCATGCTCATCTGCATTGTGGAACTTTGCAGGACTAGAGAAATATCGCCACCATTTTGAGTAAAGTTCAAGGTGACTCCATAAATAGCAAAAAGTTGACATAAATAGTGGAAAAACTACAAAAATTAAACTAAATGTTTTAAGTTAATACTAAAGCTACCTCTATTATGTGTAGATTATTTACAATTATTTTTGCTAACTATGTATGGTTAGCTTGGCTCTATGACTACTCAACTAGGTGGCTAAAGAGGAATTCAGGCTGCAGAGGGGGTAATTATACCCTTCGTGTTCAGAATGTGGAGCTCAAGGGATCTGGACTACTGCTTATAAATGGTTAGTGGCTTTATGGTTAGACATGAAACTCCTCCAACAACAGGATTCTGCAGAACAGTGATATAAAAGAGTAAACCAGAGTTCTCTTTTTTGGTCCTAATAATTTTGCACATCTAGGAAACTACATAAAGATTTTAGACATAAGAGGTAAACAAAGGGACAGATTCCAAATTTTCAAAAAAATTCAGAAAAATCCAAATGTTATCTTCTTCCTCCTTAACTAGTCCTATTGCTTTCACTGTACTGAGTTCATGGGTTCACAGAGTACTCTGATGTCATTTAAAGTTCAGCACTTCAGCACGGACACATGCAAAATATTGTGGAGTCCTACAGGAACTGTGAAATGCCATCAAACAAGCTCAAATCAACGGCATAACAATTGTTTCCTTACATGCTAGTTTGATTACTTCTAATTTTTGGTAGGTCTTCCCAGACAGTGGATAAATATCCATCTAACAACTGAATCCCTTTCCTCCCTCCCACACAAATAAATTTTATGTCAGACCCATCTATAAGGGCTGTTTACAGTTTATCAATCCAGTTCCAGAAACTTCCCAAATAGCAACACTGCGTACACTGATCTTGCTACAAATAATTAAACAAAAACATGAACAGTAAATTAATCAGGACAAAGTAGTAGAAAAAAGGAAGTCCACACAAAACTCCTCCCACAAGTAGCAAGATGTAAGTGAAAAAATAAGTATATAAGAAATTCTTGCTTGTTACAGCTGCCATCTATAAAACAAATTTCAAAGTCAAAGTATTTAAAAACAAGAGGGAGGGAACTGAGTGACAATTCCCAGCTTTTCAGTTGAACTAACTCAGACCTGGGTATCTGGACCTATCTGAGGTTAGGAAAAAATCAAAATCTCCCCTACATGCCACAGCTGTGTCCACAGAGTGAAAACTCCAGCAATAGTACCCCATGTTCTGACATAAACGGGGGGACAGTATTGAGATAAAAGAGGAGATTCAGCACAAATGCCATCAAATCCAAGCTTCCGATCCTCATCTTCAAGACTGCCTAATGCAGCCCCTACATGAATCTCAGCCCTCCCCGGGGAGGTGGGAGGGTCCCAGAGCCCAGGCTCCAGCCCAAGGCCAGAAGTCCACACTGCAGTGAAACAGCCCCGCAGCCCAAGCCCTGAATCTGAGCTGGCTGGCATGGGCCAACATAGACCAACCGTGTCTAGTTGCTATATAGACACACCCTAGGATTGCTCAGACAAAACCAGTCTTGCTATAATGGACGAATGTAAAAAAAAACAACAAACAGTGTGACATTTTCTTGTCTTCATCTACCGGTAAGACAACATAATACTTTGTCTGGACTGACCCAAAGGACATAGGGGAAATTTACATTTTATTTTCTTTTTACTTAGTTATTTTTCTGAGTGTTGCAAAGAAACGCGCATGTAAATTAAAATTCTGCCACTGAACAGATAACAGTATGAGGTTGGTTGTCAGATTATTACATTGACATTTGACCCAAAAGATCAAAAAGTAACTTTCTTCTAACACTTATATTAAGGAGCTTTATTAGAATAAGGCAGTGTTATCCCTAAAGACACACTTCCTACTTCACTGCAGAGTTTTTGGCTAAAACCTTCCCAGCCCTTCTGCCTGGCTTCCTCTTACAGACCTAAAGAAGAAACATACATGCCCTTATATCTTTACTCCTCACTATATTTGTGTGTGAGAGAACCATCTGTAAAAAAAAAATATTTAGCAATAAAGATTCACCACACACCCAAATCTAATCTTGTGGCTTGAGAAGGACTTGTCCA